CATCCTCCCATCCATCACATCTTTAATTTCATGTCCACGGTTGAGAGTTTTAGGTAACAACTTGGTGCGGTGGTTCTTCAGGATGTCTTTCAGAAGGTCTTTCATATGTGACATATTCTGTTTTCATACAAGAGACATTAAAACCAGTTCTACTGTCACCGCATGCTGGCTCTTTAATAGGGTTCACACACCTACCTCCTCAGGAACTGCGCACTCCATTTTCCTGACAGTGCGCATTACTGTGGACAGGATTGAAATTACAGGAGGACCGAAAACAGCTAGCAATTACTGGGGTGTGAGTAAAAATTAAACACATACTGTCTGTGCTTTGAGTGGGGTTAAAGTCAGTGGCCAGTGCAGGTTGGCCCTATAGAAGCTAATCCAGCCTGAACTGGGTTATACAGTATACTGAAACTTCTTACCATTGCATTGCTATGTTCTGTGTCATATGTTGAAGTAGACTCCAAGTTCCATGGAAGAACAGCTGGTTCCTGCATAAAAAACATTTAATTAAGTCTGGCTTTGTTCATAGATTAAAAAATCCACATCCAAGAACATCATTTTACTCAGAATTTAAATAATCATTCTTCTAAATTCAAATAAGACAGTCAGTGAGTGTAACTCCCAGACTTTCAAAGTCACAATTTGAATATGATTGTGTGATCTCAGAACTAACCACTTCCAGGGTGTCCTCTTGCTCTGAACTTGAGTCAGTTTCTATTTCAGGGATTTCAGCTTCTCAGGGCCTACATTTACAGTTAAGACTTCAGGAGTAAATACTGAAAGAATTGTGATTTGCTGCCTGATCTTCTTCATCTATGACTCTAATCAACAAATACATTCTTCTTTACCTGTCTTTTGTTTTGTCAGTATATTTTTGTGACCATTCCATTTATGGTTGTCAAGTTTTAATGCACAGGGTTATTCAAAAAGAATGAACTGGTTTCTGAAGCAATACGTATTGAAATCAGTTCATTCTTTTTGAATAACCCTGTATTTCTATTTTACCCTGTCTGTAATTTGTTCTGTTTTGTTTGATAGTTATATGAAGAGGTTTTCATCTATTTTTTCTCTCTCATACTAAAGTGCCATTAGGTGGGTGAATATGAGATCTTGTTTTTCTATAAGGCACAGAGGTATCGTGGTTCAATCTAAAAAAGTAGAGAGCTGAAATTATTGCAAACATATCCTCATGCGTGATGGAGGCAAGATCATCCTTGTGTACATAGTTATGACAGAATATTTCATACAAAGTCAAAACACACACTCATGCTCCTGAAAGCAAGTATGTGTACATAGATGTGGGTGTTCTGAATTTCAGTAAATACTGTCTTTAAAACATACAGTAGCACATTACCTGTAAATATTCTCTGAGTCTTCCCTGAATTTTATTCTTGGTCCAGTTTTAGGAATCAAGACATTGATGTGGTCTGAATCTCCCAAAGTCAGGAAAGCCCCATTATCAATGCCTTCATCTGAAAAGATAAATGAATATTTCATGCAAACTCAAAACAGACACTCATGCTCCTGAAAGCAAGTATGTGTACACAGATGTGGGTGTTCTGAATTTCAGTAAATACTGTCTTTAAAACATACAGTAGCACATTACCTGTAAATATTCTCTGAGTCTTCCCTGAATTTTATTCTTGGTCCAGTTTTAGGAATCAAGACATTGATGCTGTCTGAATCTCCCAAAGTCAGGAAAGCCTCATTATCAATGCCTTCATCTGTAAAGATAAATATATGATTAATATTGATGATCACGGGACAGGAAGAAAAAGCAACAGTCTCTTGGAGATGTGGACCTTGTTTTTTTGTGACAATGGAGATGGGCGTTTCCTTCCATTATGAATGATGAGTTACACATTATTGACTCATATATTAAAATTTCAGTGTATAAAAGTGAAGAACCCTTAAAAAATTATGTTAGCTCTCATTGTAACTTAGCTCTGCCTATGACAATAGCACCACACATACAGTGTAATTACAGTATTATTCATTCAATAATGCTTGAATTGATAGATTTTAGGCCTTAGATCAATGTACACACTAAACAAAAACAAAACCAAACCAGTTATTTGTCACTAGTTAGTGATTTAGATTGCTGAAGATGGAACATAAAGCTTAAGAGTTATCCACATACACAGTATAGGAGTGCATAGCAGTGCGTGTGCGTGTGTGGGTTTGTTCATCTATGTGTTAGCCCTGCAATGGATTGGCGACCTGTCCAGGGTGTACCCCGCCTTCGCCTGATTGCCGGCCGAGATTGGCTCCCGCAACCCACATTCAGGGACTAAGCGGTAGAAAATGAATGAACTCACTGAGGCCCCATTCCCATTCAGTTATTTTGTACCAGATAAAGTCAGATGTCTCCATGAGAATACACTGAAAAAAATGGTAAGCAATTGTTACTGACTGGTTAATATCACAAATATTACTGAGTAACCACAATGACTTTCTGAATCTTATAATTTATTTGAGGTGTCTGACCCACCATGTAATTTTTACAATGCAGGTACTGGCACAGACACACTACAGTACAGAGAGAGCAATGTTGGCTTGTCAGTTAGTCAGCTGATCCACCACATTCACAATCAAATATCAAATTGTGCTGTCCTCGATACACGCCTA